TTTAATCAACGTCAAAATGTTTAATAAGAGCTTTGCTTACGTCTTTCTAGCTGCATAAATTTACCAATCTACCCTTGGTTTATACTTTTAAAGAAAGTTTATTTTTTGTATTTCAGTCTGATGAATATAGTTGTATAGTAAGTTTTAGTATGTTAAGCATGAATATAAAATTGCGATATAATTATTTTAGAGAAGAATAAACTAGGAGCCATGACTATATTTTATCCACTCTAACATTCCCACAACAATTTATTCAAGAGAGAGAAGAAACAGCAACTAACATATCTGGTGGAAACAGGGAGGAAAAGAACAATTCCAGTCATGGTGGGCACAGAGAACTATCGGGACAGAGAAAGCATGAGCCAGGGCCCCGTGGGACAAGAGGCTAAGAAACAGTGCAAGAACTAGAGGAAGCCAGACCCGTCTGTGCACACTCAGAGTGGACCTCCCCACAACCCAGTGGGAAAAGCTGGAGAATCAGGAACCAGGTGGCCCAGAGCCCAAGAGCCGTGTTCATGGAGGTGAATTTACCATGAAGCCACAGAAACTTAGCTTTCAGTGTCCCTCACTTGCTCTGGCCTCATCTTAACTTTGCATCTAATTTTGAATTCCTAATTATGTATTTCTTTTCTTAACAACAACAACAAAAACAATAACAAAAAATGGGACAAGTCCTGAACCTGGCTGCTTGAAACTCATGCCAGGCATATATGTATGTGTGCCCACAATCCGTGAGGAGAAAGATTATGGCATGGCCATTGCCCCTGGTGGGTGGCTTCTCACTTTCTCTCTCTCTGTCTTAGGCAAGTGTACATGCCCTATAGCAAACATTTCTCTAAAAAGGAGAAAGTGCACTACGTGGAGGCTCACAAAGCCCAAATCCACCCATGCATATTCATGTCAGAACCAGGCAGTGCCACACAACATTCCATGAGGCAGACCCACATGGGAAGGTTGCTGGCTCGAAGCCAGAGACCTCCCAGAATACTCTAGGTGTGCGAGTGCCCATGACCTGAGCTGGTTGAGGCAATATGAAGACCCTGTCAGGGTGCTGGATCTTGGTCTTTCTCATTCATGGAATAAATATATAACACTTTTTAGATTGTCATCTTTATTTAAGAGCATCAATTTTTTTTCAAAAGTATGGAGAATAGATTTCCCCTTCCTCTCTTCTTTTCCTTTGATTTTGCTTTATTTATGAAACCTGGATCTCACATAACTAACCACACAGTTTGAATCTCAGCCCAAGTGGTTTAAATAACATACCAGGTACATGTAAATATATGCCCAAAATACTGACAAGGTAGAGAAATGGGTGAAGGGGTTACAGCATGATCACACCTCACAGGAGGTATACTTTCTTCCCCCTTTCTCCTACAAGCCCACACACCCTCTGGCAATTAAACAATACAAAACTAATGATCATATTGATGTTGTTCAAATTTGAGGAGGACTAAATTTAAGCCCCTACAGGACATTATTTCTATGGAGCAGTATAGGCCTAAAGAAGATGTAAGTTTGATCAGGAATAGATTCGTATGGTTCTGAATCATTCAGAGGATATATTGCATGAAGTGTAGGTGACTGTAATCAGAAAGGCAAAATATGTGACGTTACCACGAAGACAGGAAAAAGTTTGTGTGAAATTATTGGATGACACAACTGTATGTTTAAATCTAAACCAACTTCTCATCAAAAAATGTTTGAAATCTAGATGTACATTTTGATGTCTGGTTATGCAGTGTTAGAAGGATAGTAGTCGGTGTTAAACTAAGAGTGATTGTTTTGTTGTAAGAAGACTGACCTCGAGTCTAGGGTGGATGGGCTGTTAGGGTTAGTTCCAGTGGACCTGGAATTAACCTGAACTGTCTTTCTGAAATCAGAAATGGAATTCCATAATGATACGCATGGCTTGCACTTGGTATTGGCAAGACCCCAGAGAAGTCTGGCACTGGGGCTGGTGATGCCTCCAGGACCAGCAGGTTGTAAGAGGCCCAGATAACATTCCATGGCCATCTGAAACTGACACGCTACAATGTCCTTGCTCCCTCGTGCTGGATAGGACCATCCCATATCTCCTTTTGTAACTGGAGGACATTTTCATTTGGGTACAGGAGAGCGGGTGACAGACGGTGGAAGAGTTGAGAAGGGAGAATGAAGTGGTGCTTGTCTGTTTTCTCTATGCAGCTGATGTCTCCAAAAAGGCAGAGAGCCTCAGCTGAATTTGAAGGGAACATACTGACAATGTCAAGAGAAAATAACTGATGTAAAATAGTTTTGAAGAAGGGTGGGCAAGGAGAGGCAGGTAACTCTGGGATTTTTTTCCCCACAAATCTATTTATTTTTCCTACCCTTCCCTCTTTCTTTTTGAATACCAGCAGTAGCCACATTGTCTTGTGTCTTTCTCTCTTTTGTTTTTGTTTTGTTTTGTTTTGTTTTGTTTTGTTTTGTTTTGACTCTTTTCCCTGCGATGAGACAGCACTTCCCCTAGTGGCCTGCTGATGAAGCCCTAGTAACTGGGTTACCTACACAGACTGGTTGTACTAAAATCACCTCTGGAGTAACCATCCTTCTTCAGATGGAAGGTGGAAGGATACTGCTTTATTGCTTACAAAGGGTAGGGAGGGGGATAGCAGATGGCATAAGGATTATGTCGCTAGACTCCCAAGTAGCCGACCACAGTTCAAGTCACATAGTGGCATAAAAACTCACGCCAGGCGCATGTGCATGCGTGCCTGCCCACAATCCCTAAAGGAGAATAGAGGAGAAGGGGTTGCAGTGTGGTCATCCCCCTAGAGGGTGATTTCTCACTTCCTGTCTCTCTGTATCTGTCCAGCAAGCACACACATCCTAAAGCAAAAATCTCTCTTAAAAATAATAATAATAATGAGAAAGAAGAGTCCTCGGGCTTAAATCCCAGCTCTAGGGTTTTTAAGTGATCACTATCATCATTGTATTTGACAACCCAAAGTGAGAGGAAGTTGCAGTTGGGTCATTCCCAGAGTGCTTGAATTAAAAACAACTGGGAGCCAGACAGTGGCTCAGCGGTAAAATGTGATGCCCTGCAGAGTGAGAGAGAGAGGGAAAGTGAGAAAGTAAGCCACCAGGTCTAGGACTCGAACCACCATTAGTCATGTGGGAGTCCAGTGCCCTTACTCACCACACCACCTGCCGGTCCCTATTCTGTAACTGTTTAATCAAGACATTTAGCATGATTACAGTCACAAGAGACACAAAATGCTCATTAAAGAAATACCAGTAGGCCCTGGTTTATAATTATTCCTTGCATATTTTCCTACATTTTATCTACATTTGACCCCCCAAAACAATTGCATGGATTATTCCTAGATGTGTGCATATATAGTAAAAATACAAAACTGTGGGCAAGAAGTGTATCAGCCAAGGGTCCATCCAGAACAGAAACCAAACTAAGAGTTTGAAACATTGGATGTTTAATTCGAACTGATTACACATGTGATGGAAAAACTGGATTATCACAGGGGAAACGAGGCTCTGTGGAGGTTAGCAGCTCCAGGAAGAGACTCCTGCTCCTAGAGATATAGGTCATAGGACAAAGTAAAATTTCCAAATCCCAGAAGCCTTGGCATCTGGTAGGAGAGAGCACCAAGGTGGAGGCTGCCTGGCTAGAACTGGGCCCACAGAGGAGCTGGGACTTCTCCTGAGAGAGCGGTCAAGGCAGAGAGTGCCCTGCCCTTCCTTCAGCCCTTTCATCTCTGAGCAGTACCTATGAGCACACCCAGATGAAGCTGTCTGGCTAGGAAGCCTGGGACAGGTAGTGCAGACCTCTCTGCCACACAGAGTAGAGAAAGGTTAAGGCAGGAAATGTACAGGAAGGTAGGCACATGACAGCAGAGGACAGATGAGGCCACTTAGTGATTTGAGTCAGAGGAGATACTCAGAAAAAATGAGGGTGGGGAGAGGAACAAAGTGGCCCTCAAATATATTGGTAACTGCTTATTTCTTCAATAATAATAATAGCAATAAAAGGTTTGGAGCAAATATGGCCAAAGGTTAACGTTTATTAAATTTGTAGGATACTCATTGTGCTATTCACTGTACATTTCCATGTAACTGCAATAAAGAATTAGAGGAAAAGGAAAATATGATTTTCTGGATTTGGGTTAATCGTAAGCATTTTTCTTATTCACCCTTGCCCCCACTGCCCACTCAGGGACAAAGCCCATGCCACTCTCTCTACAGTGGCAACTTTGTGGATTTCATAGATTCTGGGTTCTATTCTCTTCTGTGGCCAATAACAGAAAATAACTGAGATGGTGTACTCTATTAAAATAGAGGTTAATTTAGATCACAAGTTGGAGGTCCAAGGTCAAAGGTTCCATCTGGAAAGGGTCTTCTGGCTATATTACAACATGGTGGAGAAGAGGAACGCAAGCATCTGTGTGTTCTCTTCGAGTCTCATTCCCTCTCCTACTGAGCTCACTAGAAGCCAGTCACAGGGGACCTAGCCTAATGACTGTCAATCTAAATTTCTCACAAAACTCCCACCTTCTAACTCCATAGTCAGATTAAGTTTTCACCCTCTTAGTCCCGTCACAACCAAATCTCAACAAATAAATTTAAGAGAGACGTTCAAATCATGGTATTCTGTCACCAGTGATGTTGATTCTTTGGTGTGATAGCATTGGAAGGCAAGGAGGTAAAGGAAGAAAATGAAATAGAAAGGCAAAGTGAGAAGGCTCTAGGACAAGACCTGGGAGGAAGAGAATGACAAATCACTCTGATTCTCCCATTGCTACCTAACTTTCAATCTTTGTTCAGCCACTCACCACTTGAGTGGCCTTGGGCAAGTTCCCTGGCCTCCACATGCCTCCTTTTCTCCTTCATTAAATGTGAATGGTAAGAGTACCTACCTCAAAGGGGCTGTTAGAGGATTCAGTGAGTTCACCCATGCAGGAGACAAAACAGGACTGATTGGAGAAAGTTACACTTTAGCAAAGAGAATCTACTGGGTAATTTCATTAGAAGATTCAACTTCAATATTCTGCATGGAAGGGATACTCATCCAAATGAGCTAGGCTGTAGAGAAAACAAGCATAAAGAAGGTGGTTAGTCAAAAAATAACTCTCATTGAAAAGGCATTCTTCTCTTGTGTATTCCATGGCCTCTGTGCTCTCTCAGGCTCCTCCCTGCAAGATTTGTAAGATCACATTAAGAGGGCTCATACCTCGACCTTCTCTCTAATTGAGTGAGGAGCATGCTAGGAAGGAGGATAGGTAAGTAGTGAGCCTTGCACTGCTCAGCTCACGCCAATAGCTCTTGATAACCTGGCTCCAAGACAAGCATCTTACAATTCATTCTCACACCTGGAAGTGGGAAGTAACATTAGAATCGACAGCCTGGAGATGTGAGGTTAAATGAGATTATATCACAGGCAAAAGGCATAGACTCTGGCACATTCTAAGCTAGCATTCAATACATGTGGACTGTAATTAGTCTTATTATCCCAACTTTATAGACAAAGTTATCTACTTGGGAAAGATAGGAACTTTACACAAGGTTGTACAGCTGAAAAAGAAGGGAAAGTTCCATGATATGAAGCCAGGTGGATTTGCTTCTCAGCCTACCAACCCATGGCCTTGACTGGAAATGATGCTCTTAAGATGAGAAGCAGCTCCAGGGAGGGTCACATTTTCTTTTTACACATCCTTTTCATTCCCAGTAGCAGGTGCTTTATCATCCTCTGCTAAAACTTAGCAATCCTAGGGTGTGGAAAGCTGCTATATAATACTAAGAGTAGGTAGGTTGGAATATGGTGACATGAGAGCCTATGTTCAAAATACTGAAACATTTTTTAAAAACTGAAAAATCAAGTTTTCACTTTCTTAGCACCCAAAGAGATTTGAATTATCAATAAGGTAGGGAACTGGCAGTAATGAATGTCATAAAACACCTTTCCCAAAGATAAAAGTCGTCAATATATTTAAGTAGACACATTAATCAGAAAGTATTGATGGAAAAGATTCCACTTAAAATGATTGTCTATCTAGAGAGAAAATTTTTTCTCAAATATTTATGAAAGATTTAAATAAGATAGTCATTCCCACCTTCTTTAAGAGACATTTAGTTAAGAATCCTAGAACTATAGAATTCTCAGAACAAGAGAACCCTATAAATAATGAGGAGAGTTAAATAATAGTAAGGCCTTGTCTACCTTCTGTATTTTTATAAACTCTTTCTCTTAGAAATCTGTTTACCCAACTCTATAAGTTCAAATCCCAATCTTTCTCTTAGAAATCTGTTTACCCAATTCTATAAGTTCAAATCCCAACCACATGCTATTGATCCCAAGTATTTGTCTGCAGTATTTATTTAATTGCTTCCCAACTCTACACTGGTATATCCAACTGCCTATTTGACATTCTCTCCTTGACATCCAGTAGGCATTGTGAACATGTTTCAAACAAACTTCTGATTTATTCTCCCAAAATTCTTCAGTTTCTCAGGAAAAATCATGAACAACAACAACAACAAAACTTGGAGCCATCTCTGACTCCTAATTTGTTAGCAGATTCACTTGGCCCTACTTTCTCAGCACACCTAACATAAGGTCATTCCTCATCTCCACACCCCAATCACCCAGTCCCTCCCATCTCTTGCCTAGAATCTCCTTGTAGATTCTCAGCACAGAAGAGAAGACAGTGTGTTTCTTTTCAAACATAAGCTGGACTACGATTCTGTTCAAAAACCTTTTGACTACAATTCTGCTCAAAAACCTTTAGACCTTGCTAAAACATGGAACCAACCCAAATGCCCCCGTACAGCTGAATGGATTGAAAAACTGTGGCACATATACTCTATGGAATACTATTCAGCCATTAAGAACAACAAAACTCTGGCTTTTGACAGAAAGTGGAAGAATATGGAAGATTTACTGCTGAGTGAAGCAAGCCAGGCTATGAAGGAGAGACACTGTATGTCCCCACTTAATATATGCTGATGTCCGCAATCTATAACTGAAACAGATGGGATAAAGGATGTACAAACACAAGAGGTGGATGTGAATGCCAGATGTGG